TTTTCATAAAATTGTTTGAGGGGCGGCATATTGGGATTACATATGGAGTGGGTATAGGCAAAGATGAAATAGATAACTGAATTATTTGTGAACCAGAAACAGATTCTTAGCCAGTTAGACTAATCGTAGAAGCCTTTTGCAGACTCTATAATCTAATAATTGTTTTATTGATATAATAATTTTTTGCTGAGCATGACTATATAAAAGGACAAGTGCAAGAAGCCGTGAGAGATAAAAATTTGTATAATAAATGGGTTCACAGTTTAATGAAGAAGACCTTACCAAGATATACAGGGGAAATAAATGTAAACCCAAATAACCATAAGATAGGACCATAAAAGAACATATGACTGGTATAATGTGAAATTCTTTAAAAGTTTATTAGAAGGATAGAGCATAGGCTAGAACAGCCACTTCTAGCTATCAAAAGATAACATTGGTTCTGGGCCTTGAGGTAGCTATGGAATGATAAGACTGATATGGTAAGGTAAAAAGCAAGCAGTCAGATTTTAAAATGCATAAACTGTATGAGCGGGTGTGAACAGATAAACTAGGATGGATTCCAAGGAATGCATTGAAAGATAAGACTGAAAATACACGTGGCAGCCATTGTTGAAGGTCCTTGAAAACCATGTTTAGGCATTTGGCCTGGATTTATTAAGCATGGGGATCAGGATTTGAGGAAAAAGTAAAGCATGATTGTAGTTATGCCTTAAGAGTGGTCTGTCAGCAGAAATGGAAATTAGATTGGAACAGAAGCAGTGCTAAAAGTGGGGAAAACATCTAGGCAGCCACTACAAAACTTAAGATAAGTAACAGGTTAAAGCTTTATTTCTGAGCTGCACATTCAGCAAATCTCTTCTTAGGAGTTCCCCTTTCTAAAACTAAAGTAACACCTAGTTACAACATCTCTACCATTTACAGCAGAGGTTCTCACTCTTGTGTGTGCACAGTGAGTGATCTTCTGGGTATCTTTTAAAAATGGCCAATTCAGGATCTTACCATCAGATATTGTTACTGAGCAAGGGCTCACCACCCAGTGTGCATAAAGAGCCAATCATTACAGCATCAGCCTTTGGGAAAAGAAAAGTAGCTTTATTTGCGAGTTGGATCTGCAAGGAGACAGGAGGCATGTGCTCTCAGATCTGTCTCCCTGATCCAGGGCTTGGGGTAAAATTTATGGGACAAAGGGCAGGGTAGTCTGAAGTGTGGGACTAGATGATTGGAGGTAAGGAGAAGTGAGGTAATGGATGACCTGCACGAGCCTTGTCAAGATTCATTGCTCTTCATAGGATGCACCTTCACAAAATAGTGGTATTAGTATGACCTGAAGGTGTGGTTTTCAACCCTTTGACATCAAAAAGGTCACTTATTGGCATTTGCACAGGCCCAGTTAATGGGTTGGCGGTCTCAACCAGCCCGAACTGGACAAGGGGTCTCAGTTTCTGAAAGACCACTCTTAATTACTCTGTTGATACAGTGGGGTCAGTTGAACTGGTCCTAGAGGGCCCATGGTTACAAAATTTGAATCAGAATTTCTAGGTTAGGATCCATGGAGGTTTCAATAATTCTCTAAGAAATTTTGATGTGGACGATCCAGGGATTATAATCTAAAATACATTGCTTTAAGGAATCTAAGGGTTTTAGAAAAATTTTTCCTCAACTTCATCCTTCTTGTGGGAAACCTTCCATGAATAGCCAATAGCAAAATGTTCTCTATTATGGGACTTCTGACCTACACTATTTTTAAGGAAAGTAGAAATTGATTGTAACATAACAAATTATTAACTCAATCATTACATATAGTACACAAATAGGAAAATATTCACAAACTGTAAAGATTTGGCATTATATATAACGTACTGTTCTTAAAGAAGACTCTGCTTGTTCTAAGTGGAAAAATAGATTTTTCTGTCATTTTTCTCCTTTTATCATTCTTCTCAGGAACACAAAGAAAAAACATAAAGCCTTGATGTAAGACTTGTAAATGGATGGTGTTTACTTGGCAACAAAACTGATTAATGCTTTTTGTACTTAATTTTAAAACAGTGCTAACAGGAAATGCCCTTAGTTCCCCATTGAATCCTGACTGACTCCATGTAGTTCACAAAACGGTGTATAGTTGACAGTGTCAGTGCTCAGGCCAGATCCCCATGCCCTTAGCTACTGCGTGCTTTGCTTCCTTCAGCCTACACCTTGAACTTTTTGGAGGAACGTCCTTGGGCTACCAGAGCTGCTTTGACCACAAGCGCAGAGAGCCAATGGTGCCTGGGAATTCATGTCCCTCCAGGATAGCTCTTAGCCAATGACGACTAGTAGGGAATTATGAAAGCCCGACTTCCTTTACTGAACTTGGGACAAATTCTGTGGCTTGATTTCCACTCCAGAGCCTCCGTGAGGAATCAGGCTGAGATGGGGACTTTCCTTGAAACCTCATCTTTGGCTTCCTTCCATTTCACAGTCTGCTTTCCTCACTCTCATGTGGGTTTCTCCTGGGAGCATTTTCTTAACAAACAACGTGTATCGGATTCCTTATCACAGGGTGTGAGTCTAGGGAACTCAGCCTAAGGCACAATGTTAATCTCACTTTCAACTAAAGATCCCTCTAGGAGAAAAATAAACAAAAAGACAAATGTATCAACATTTTGATATTTTCCTGTAAACAAGAAAGCCCTAGTCAAAGGGTCTCTGATCCTACCTTGAAAAAGCAAGGATTTATTAGTGAAATTTAAATAGAAGGGTATGTTTATTCTACTTACCCAACTCCAGATTTTTTCCACCTGATTCAAAATCCCTTTCTTATTTACTCCCTTGGTTTAATATTAAAGACAGATTTGGCAGAATCACAATATGTTGCCAATTAAACCTGAAAATACCTTAATATTTTTTATTTGTCAGTCTCATCATCTCTCTAACCTGGAAGAATTTCAATTGAGGACAGAAACCCGTTTAGAAAGAGAGGTGGTCCAGGAGAGTCAGGTAATGCATACAACTTTGTCTGAAATCTATCTTTTTATTCAACATTGGACGAACTTAAAGACTTCAGCTGTGTCTTATCAAAACTTGATAGAAGGCTATTGGTTCTAACTCCTGAAGGTACCATCTGATTTTAGTGATCAGAATATACATAAATCAAGCCATGTCCATGGTTTAAATACATTTCCAGGAAAATTGTCTGATCAGACAGTTGTAAATTCTAGAAGTGTGTATAATAAATGCAAATCTCCTTAAAAGTGAACAATCTTTCAGCATATGCTCTAAGTTTTATTTGTCTTCTATCAAATACAATCCCTTTTCTGACTACCCACGGGTCTTCTGGTTTAGTCTGGAATTGAACCCTTTCCTTTCAAAAGTATCTTAAGTATCGTTAGACCTATTGTCTCACCAATGTTTTTCTGTCCACTTTACCATTTCTTTCTAATTCTTGTGACTTTCTTGGATGGTAACCTTCTGGAACTTATCTGCCATCCTGTGATTAACTTTGTTGCTGACACATACTTGGATCGACTTATTACCATTGTCCAAATATGCACCCAACTAAGGATTCCCACAGAATCTCCCCTCTGATGTGGGATTAGAGTATTATTCTCTCTAGCCTGACACTCAATATTCCTGGCTACATTCCCCAAAACTGCAATCCACAATCAGACAACTTCCATTGCTTACAGCTCAAGACAAGTATTTTCTAAAGCGAGTCTGTGGAATCCTGGTACTTGAGGATAATTATAGGTAATATGTGAAAAGAAAAAATTTTGGATGTATACACCCATAAAACCATTGCCACAGTCAATTTAATGAACCTATCCATTATCCCCAAAAGTTTCCTCTACCACTTTACAATCTATTCCTTCAAGCCCTCCAGGCCCCACATCCCTAAGCAACCATCAATCTTCTTTCTCACACAATAGATTAATTAGAATTTTCTAGAATTTTGTGTAAATGAAATCATAAGGAATATAATCTTTTATATCAGGTTTCTTTCACTCAGCGTAACTGTTTGGAGGTGCATCCATGTTTATGTACATATCAACAGTCCCTTCCTGTTTATTGCTGTATAGTATTTCACTGTATAGATATACCACAATATGTTTATCTATTCACATAAATAGACATTCGGGTCAAGAAGGGACACTACTGGCATCTGGTGAGTAGAGGCCACAAATGCTGCTAAATATCCTATGATGCACAGGACAGTGCCCCACAACAAAGAATTATCCAGCTCAATATTGAGAAGGTTGAGAAACTCTGGCTTAACTAACTTATAAAGATTTTATGTTACATTTTCTTCCAAAAATTTTGTGCTTTTAGTTTTTACATTTGTGTCTATGATTCATTTTGAGTTAATTTTTGTGTATCTTGTGAGGTATGGATACACCTTGTGAGGTGTATCTCGTGAGGTATGAGGTATGGATTCATGTTTTTGCACATGGATATCCAATTTTTTTTACACTATTAATTAAGAGGACTATACTTTCTCCATTGAGTTATCCATGTACTTTTGTTGAAAATCAATTGTCCATATGTGTGGTAGTCTATTTAAGAACCCTATTCTATTTGTTTAATCTATTCATCTATCTTGACATAAGATCTTGATTACTCAAGCTTTATGATAACTCTTGAAATCAGTGTAAATCCCCCTTTTCAAAATTGCTTTGGCTATTTATCCCAAAGCATTTAATATATCTTATGCTAGTGTGCAAGGGTATTATTTATTTATTTTTTACCATGATAAACTGTATATCCATAAAATTCATCATTTCAAGCATTTTGAAGCATGCAGTTCAGCAGCACTAAGTACATTCACATTCTTGTGCAACCATCACCACCATCTAACTACGGAACATCTTTCATCTTCCCAAATTGAAAATCTGTATCCATTAAGCAATAACTTCCCATTCTTCCTCCCCCCAGCACCTAGCAACCATCATTCTACCTTCTGTCTCTATGAATTTGACTCTTCTAGGTAACTCATGTATGTGGAATCATAGATTATTTGTCCTTACAAATGCAGATGCTTCACAAATTTGCAAGTCATTCTTGTGCAGGGGCCATGCTAATCTCTGTACCATTCCAATTTTAGGTTATGTATTGCCAAAGTGAGCACTATTTATTACTTTTTTATTCAACTTCTGATTATTCATTGGTAGTATAGAGAAGCATATTTTTGCATATTGATCTCATGTCCTATAATCTTGCTAAGCTCAACTACTTATTCTTGTAGCTTTTTTGTAGATTTCATTAGATTGTCTACATAGAAGATCATGTCATCCAAAAAAGACAGGTTTACTTCATCCTTTCTAATCTGAATTCCTTCCATTTCCTTTTCTTGCCTTATAGCATTGGCTAGAGTTGGTATTACAATGTTGAGTCAACTACAAGTGGTGACAGCAGACATCCATGCTTTGTTCCTGAACTTATGGGAAATACATTCAGTCTTTTATTTCAACAATAAGATGATGTTAACTATATATTTTTCATAACTGTCCCTTATGAGGTTGAGGAAGTCTCTTTCTATTTCTAGTGTGCTGAGTATTTTATTAGAATGTATATTTTACTGTGGTTGGGTGAGGTGCCCTCTAACTGTCAATTAGGTCAATAATAAGTAAGAATTCTATATTCATAGTTTTGTTCAGCCTATCATTTTATTAATTATTGCAGCAGGGAAGTTGAAATCTCTGAATTTAGTTTTGGATTTTCTATTTCTCTTTAGAGTTCCAAAAGTTTTTGCATTATGTATTTACAGCTCTGTTGTTAGGTTCATAAACATTTAGGATTGTTATTTCCTCTTGCTAAATTAATTGTTGTACCACTTAAAGAGACTCTGTTTACCCCACATAATATATTTCTTCCAAAAGCTACTTCATCTGATAGAGATGTAGCTAATTCAGATTTCTTTGGATAAATATTTGCATGGCATATCCTTATCTGTCCTTTTAACTATTTGTGTCTTTATATTTAAAGTGGATTTCTTGTAGACAGCATACAGTTCAGTCTTTCTTTTTTGTCCAATTTGACAATCTGGCTTTAATTGGAGTATCTGGACAATTTAAATATAATGTAATTTTCTATATGGTTGACTTTTTTATCTGTTATTGATATGGTTGCTATTTGGTTTCTATTGGTCCTATCTGTTCTTTGTTCCATTTTTTCTTCCTTCTTTGGATGACTTGAGCTTTTTATTTCATAGTACTATTTTATTATCTATGTTGACTTTTTAACTATAACTCTCTGTTGTGTTACTTTAGTAGTTGCTTTATGGAGTGTGTATACACTTTTAACTTATCATGGTCAGCCATCAAATGATATACCAGTTCACATGTGGTTTAATAACTTTTCAACAGTATGCTACCTCTACTATTTGATGAAATTTTGTGCTACTATTGTCATACATTTTAATTCCACACATTTTATAAACCCCACAATATATTGTTCTTATTTTTGGTTATACAGACAGTTATGTTTAAAAGAGGTCAAATAATTTCAAAAATTCTTTTAATTTAATCCTGTGATTATTGTGTCCAGTAATCTTCATTTCCTTGTGTACGCCCAGTTTGTCATCTGGTATCATATTCCTCCTGTTTGAAGGACTTCTTTCCTCATTTCTTATAGAGCTAGTCAGTTGATGATAAACACTTTCAGTCTTTATATTTCTGAAAGATTCGGTATTTTGTCTTTGTTTTTGTAAGATATTTTTGCTGCATAATGGGTTTCAAGTTAATAGCTTCCTCATTCAGTACCTTAGAGATGTTGTTCCCCTGACCTCTTGTTTACATTTTTTTCAGTGAGAAAACTGAGATTTTTTGTTTTTGTCTTTGATTTTCTGAGGAAGATTCACCCTGAGTAACATCCATACAAATCTTCCTCTATTCTTTTTAGTATGTGGGCTGCCAGCACAGCATGGCCACTAACAGAGTGATGTAGGTCCATATCCAGGAACCGAACCCAAGCTGTAAAGTGGAGAACACTGAACTTTACCACTAGGACTCCTCTTTTGTATTTTTCTGTGTATAATGTGTCTTTATCTTCTGGCTACTTTTAATATTTTTCTTCTTATTGCTGGTTTTATGGAATATGATTATGATGTGTTTGGTGTAGTTTTCATCATGTTTCATGCTTTGGCATCTATAGTATATAGTTTTAATCACATTTTAAAATTTATCAGCCATTATTCCTTCAAATATTTTTCTGAATTCCCCCATTTTTCCTCAGGGACTCCAATTAAATGTATAGGAGGCCAATAAAGCTATCCCACAGCTCGCTGAAGTTCAATTTAAAGTTTTCATGAGTCTTTCTTTTTTTGTGTTTCCTTTTGAATAGCTTCTATTGTTACGTTTTCAAGTTTACTAATATTTTCTTCTGCAGTATCTAACATGCCATTAATCCTTTCCAGTGTATTTTTCATCTCAGATATAGTGTTCATCTGTAACTATTGGATTTCAGCTATTTTGATCTTACTACTTAACATATTCAGAATTTCTCTAGTTTCTTGAATATATGAAATAGAGTCATAATTATTTTAGCATTCTTGTCTATTAATTTTCTCATCTTTGTCAATTCTGACTCAAGTCTGATTGTTTCATTTTTCCCCTCTTTATGGGCAATATTGTTGTATGTCTTTTCATGTCTGGAAATTTTTAATTAGATGAAAGAAATTGTGATTTTGCTTTGTTGGGTGTGTAATTTTTTATTCCTATGTGTATAGCAGTCTTGTTCCAGGAGGAAGTTAAGCTATTTAGAGAGAACTTTATCTTCTCCAGCTTTGCTTCTATGCTGTGTCATGACGAGTTAGTGAAGCATTTAGTCTAGTGTTAGTTATCCCCACTACTGAAGCAAAACCTCAATGAGAACTCTCCTCAATGCCCCACAAATCATGAATGCCTCTCTGGTTAGTGAGAATAGGTATCATTCCTGACCCTGCCAGAGTTGTGGTGGTTGTTACTTATAATACTTTGGGGTGGTTGTTTCCCCAGCCATGGGCAGTTTTTACACATTCATCTGCTAATCAGTACTCCTCTGAATATTTGAAGGGGACCCCTTACAGATCCTAGTAGTTTTCTAGTGTAGGGACCTGAAATTGGCCACCCCAAGATATGTCTCTTTAGCATCAGGATTATTTGAGGCTGATTGCTTTTGATAAACTGGGACAGGGAAGGAGGAATGGAACTTGCCCTTTGTTAGGACACATTTACATTTGTAAGGTAAATCTCTATCTGTAAAAGTTGCCTCCCTCTCTGTACCAGGAAGAAGAAAGGAGATGACCTTCTCTCTAGAAACACTTAATCAATACCAAAGGCAAGGACTTAAATCTGCATTTTCTTGTGCTTCTCTGGTAACCTCCTGTAACTGACTTCCCCCCCCCCCCAACTTTGGCATTTCTTTAAGGATTAAGCATCTTTCCTTAGGCTAGGAACTGATTACTGCACTCACCTGTGACCACCCAGCTCCAGACAATCGACTAGCCTCCTGCTACACCCACCGAGATAGCCGACCACTACCTGCTGTGTCCATCAAGTACCGTGTCGACAGGGCAATCTTGTGACTATTGTGGGAGGGACATTTCAATCACATGTGAAACACCCTGTTTGGGGATATATAACCACTCTGTGCACCCCACTTCTTCAGTGCCCTTTCTTCCTTTGGGAAGAAAGGCCCCGGGCCATGGTTCCTCATAAAGCTTTGTTTAATTTTCTCTTGCTATTCTGTCTCATGTGAATTTAATTCGTTCTCCGGCCAGACGAATCCACATTTGGGAAGAGGAAATGTCTTCCTCCCCTACACTAGCTAGAAAACTCTGTGCCCTCTGGTACTCTCACCTGTGAACTCAAGCTGCCTTGTCCTCTCCAGAATCCCAGTGCTGTCTCCTCAACTCAGGGAGACCACTGAGATTAGCCTCAGTTCCCCCTCTTGGTGTTGCAGCCTTGAAAGTTATTTTCATTAATAGCAATTTATAGCAATTATAGCAATTTTATGGCTAAACTCTCTTGTAGCTCATCTCTTAGGGATTACTGTCTTAAGTTACCTGATTTCTAATATTTTTTGAGAACCACTATTTCTCATATTTTTCCATTTTATTGGTGTCATTTTGTTTTAGTTATTTCAGATGGGAAGGTAAATTTGGTCCCTGCTGCTCTGTCTTGATCAGAAGTAGAAGTGTCCTTGTCTGATAAGCTTAACATTTCATGTAACACATCAAAATAAACATTCCATGAACTAAAACAGGTGCTCCTAAGAAATGCTACTTTAACGTCTAATACCACACAAAGCATAGAGCTCAGAGAGTGAAACTGTATTTGTGCATTAATTAATCATCATGCGTGTTTATTAAACTTCTTTTTACATGTTTTTATAAAATTCATTAATGTGTTTACTTAATAAATACCCGTGAACAATAAAAATTATATTAATTTTTAATTAATAAATAAGATCCACTTTTCAGTATTGATACCACAGAAAGATACTCCTATCTGTGTGATTATAATAAAAAAGTACAGAGAGTAACTAATGGGAATATCAATAATAATTTCAAGCTCCTTTTAATGATTTTTTGTAATTTGAGCTCATATTTTAGCTGCTTGGAAGTGTGCTGGGATCAAGAGAACGTTTAGAAAAATACTAAGCAAAATATAACCTTCTTGTATCTATCAAATAACCACAAGTGTTAAAAATTTGAATATTTTAGGAATTTTAGAGTAATTTCACAAAACATTTAAAAAGTAACATAAAATGTGATGAATTTCAGGGACAAATTATAATATTCAGTATGCAATGGAATAAAATGGAAGATGTTCAATTTCTATGTTTTGTAACAACAGAAGGCCTCTTCCAGACATAAAATTTTTTTTGCCAATATATTGATGGATTTACTCTCATTATATGAGGCAGTTATCTTTGAATTCACTACTGTTAACAATAAATATCTGTTAATGTAATTGAATCATTTTGTATAACCTTGGATATCTTTGTTGACCTCTGAGGCTGAGATTTCATCTCAGGATAGTTAATTATGTCAGATGCAACTCAGGAGGATCATGACCCTAACATTTGACTTCATAAGTGTCTATCAATTTATTAAATTAACAAAATTAAGCATAATTATAAAATTGT